ATTCGTTCTCCGTGTTCTCTGTTTTCCATTTAATCTTTCTGTGCCCCTCCATAACTTCATTATCATTGCTTTGCATTGGTACCATACTGGTTCTCAATCCGGTGTAATATATATATATATATATATATATATATATACAAGTGAAATACAATAGAGGTAAATACTATGGTTCAATTCATAGATACAGGATTAGGATAAAAGTCCTCTTAGACTGTGTTTAATCGTTTGATTTGAGTAGGGAGAAATATTGAGAGCTGGTGCGAATTAAGAGACTTCTTCAGCGTTGCATGCTACGGAAGGAAAGTGGAGATCGGAAGATACAAGTACGACAAGGGGAGACAAGCTTAAAATAATTTTAAGTCACCAGGGTACGGGACGGGCGAGAAAAGGTTATGAAAGGACATGCTGCTAGGGCAGGCTCTGAAGATTAAGAAAGCAAAGCAATAACAGCTGATTCGCACTGCAAAGTAACCTTCCATTTTCACTGCCCCCTGATGTTTTTTTATCAGTCGCCGTGTTTCAGTTACGCTGCGTACTCTCCAGGGGATTCCACGAAGTTCAGTGTGTAGTAAAAAGACTATTGTGATACCATTGCAAGTTGATAACTCCAGTGGGTAACAGTGCAAACTGGTGGTGGTGCAGTGGTTTGGTCGTTTTCGCCGTGCTTTGTACCGTGTTCCGAGGTTCGAGCCTCGCTATTGCTACCCAACCTTAGTGGAAGGCAGCTTTACTTTTGTCGGGTTCAATACTACACGTATCCTAATAAGGCCTTATGCGGTTCACCACTTCAAGTCCCGGGGCTTGGGTTGCGGGTTTGCATCACTGAACAGCAGGTGTATGCCACTATGGGGTTCACCCCATTTGCTGTTCATCATGGAACATTTTTCTTTTCATGAAGATTATTGTACCGTGATTTGCTTGACACAGCCTGGCCTCAGACAAGTGTGAAATATAATATCTAATATGATGTTCATCGCATAACAGGATGTGCAATTAAAAAAAATTTCAAAACAAGTTCGATTCGTAGTGTTCTACGTTACTAGAATAAGAAAAGAAAATCTACAAATGCCATGTGAAACGCGGTTATGGTATCAAAACGAGTTTATGTCCAAAAGGAAGAACAATTTAGTCATTGTTTTTATGAGACCGCACCGTGGCCTGGTGTGATGGATTATGCACATCTGATCCAACGGGCTGCACAGGATGGCTTTTGTTAAATCATGCCTGGAATGTCAAAGGGTAGCGGTCAGACGAAGTCCAGTCTCCTGGTCCTTCAAGTTGGGGGTCTTACTAGAATATGCGTTTCACTCAGTAAAAACTAGTGGAGTAATTGATCGGAGACGACGAGCCTCTATTTCGCCTTACCAGCTACCATGCGGTTAGGTCCTTATCAGAAATAAAGACTTTAGTTGAGAGCCCTAAACGTTCTGCTTAGTGGTTGTGCTCCCATCCACAAAGCTGAAATAAACACAAACCAATAATTTCGGTGATTGGGCAGGATATTCAGGACCACGCTGCTTGTTGTATCGAGCGGGATGGGTAGTGATAAGTGGGCAACTACCTACACATCCCAAAGTTTTTATTCGCTGTTTTCTATACCCGACTCTTTCCCTTTGCCCCTTCTTGCGACCCACCAGACAGCTCGTTTGCCATTCGCTAAAGCTCATTGTCAAACTGTGTTGCTTAACATTTAGTCGATTGCAGACTAGGAAACCTCGTTAACCTCTTTATCTAAGGTCTTCAACTTGAGGACTCTGATGCATGTGGTAAACAAGCGTGTCTTTCGATTACAATGAACTCATCGGAAATTGATGTCTGTTGCTCATCCGGGATACTAATTCAGGATCCGAGTATTATGAGCCACCTAAGTGCGCCGCGTCTGTCCTCGAATTATTTCCTTGTAACATCAGGAAACGATAAAACCCGTTCAGCGTGGAGTACGAATCGTACTAAATGATCAACCTGAGGCCTAGTCGTTTGTGTCCAACGAGGCTTCAGGGTTCAGTTAGTGCTACACTTTGCACCTTCAAAGTGTAAAATGTTGCTACAAGACTAGGTTGATCCAGCACATAGCCTCACACTTACTGGGGAATAATAGAACGAGTTTTGCTATTTGGGCAACTGTATCACCCGGTGGACGGATCACGGATTATGTGTCAACACGTATACAGAAGGCTCGATTGGCATTTGTCAACTTGGGACATCTGTGGCACCGTCGCGATAACTGGCGGTCTGTGAAGTCGAGCGTGTTTCAGCAGTTCGGCCAGGTGCGAGGACTTGGTAGTTACGGAAACAAGACAGGTTACCAGTGTTCGAACACCGCTGTCTAGGTCTCATTGCACGAATGTGGTGGGGAAGCTGTGTAAACAATCTTGAGGTCATATACAGAATTTAAGGTAATCGCGATTGGCCACTAAAAAATGGTCGACTTCTGTAGATTGTATTGTTTGGGGCATGGGCTGCGCATAACACCAAATGGATTACCACGGCGCACGATGTTTGCCGAGCCTGGTAGTGGGTGGAAAAAGTCAAAGGTGGTCAAACTAAGACCTAGCATGAGGGTATGAAAATCCAACACAGCTCTCAACAGACAGCAACGTGGCGCTCAAACTCGAATGGCACTCTAACTCAGATCGACCACAACAGTAGGCTACTGTTGGCGTGGTTCAGTACAAAACTGCAGGTGCTGTTGAACCACGCGTTGAATCTGATCATGCGTTAGTTTTGATGCAGTTTGCTCTCCAACTCACTGGTCGCAGAAAATCCCATCAAACTCGATTGGTAGATCATCGCTTATCTGACTCAGCCGTTCGTGCCCGTTTTGAATCAGAACTAGGGCAAGAGCTAAAGGCGGGGTGGTAGTGTAGATGAACAATAGGATCAGGTTTGCCGAGCAATGCACTCCGCAGCGAAGGTTGCTTGTAAATCTGAAGCGGTAGCCCGACTCAGGTATTGGATATCTGTTCAGTCAGTAGCACTGATGGAGAAAAAGCGGCAAATCCCGAACGCCCGGGATCAAGGCGGAGCGGAGGATCAAGGTGGGCGGAGTACTTTAGCGAATAGTTCAGCTGATCAGGCGCTAACCAGGCTATCTCCGGTGTAGCTGAGGCTCATCATCATCAATCAATAATCAATCGTACAACGAAATACGGTGATGCTGACTTCATTAATCACTGCTAAACTCGAAATGCGTGCAAGGTTTACGGTGTTTAAGGCGAATACAAAAACTGACAGGATCAATTCTCAAGCCTACTTTCACTCAACAATCGCGCTCACTAACATTCGCGGCTTGAATCATAATAATGATTCTGTACACTAATTTCTTCAATTCACTTCCCCTCGCTCTATTTTTATCCGAAACACAACGTTCCACTTATACAAACACCACCCATCTTCAGTTTCTCAATTATTCCCTTCACANCACTTCGTTCATCGCCAAATTCTGGAGCATCGACATTTTTCATAGACCTATCATCTCTTTCTTCTTCTCCTTGGAAGCTGCCTTTCCCTGAAGGGTGTACTCGAGAAGTTTATTTCAATATTAAAATCGCTTTATACTAATAGCCGGAGCCGAATCCGAGCTTACGGCACTTTTTCACCCGAGTTCACCTCGGAAAGTAGTGCTTGTCAGGGTTGCCCTCTCTCTCCCTTTCTATTGAACTTTGTTATAGATTTGATAATGGAAACAGCTCTATCCTCGNGCGAAGATAGCGGCATCCATTTACTCCCAGCTGGCAGATTTTCTAATCTGGAATATGCAGACGACATCGTGCTGCTAAGTGAAGATCCAGGTAAGTTGCAAGCTGTTCTGAATAGCTTGAATGCCAGCGTAGCCATTTTCGGTGTGCATTTTGCACCTTTAAAGTGTAACAAGTTGCTGCAAGACTGGGTTGGCACAGCACCTAGCCTCATCCTAACTAGGGAAATAATAAAGCAAATGGATAAGTTTTGTTATCTGGGCAGTTACTTCTCACCCGGTGTACGCATCACGCATACAGAAGGCTAGGTTGGCATTTGCCAACTTGAGACATCTGTGGCGCCGTCGCGACATCTGGCTGTCTGTGAAGGGTCGAGTGTATACCACGACAGTTTGGCCAATTCTGCTGTACAACGCAGAAACTTGGCCATTAAGAAAACAGGATAAAGGTAGACTGGGTGTTTGAACACCGCCGTCTACGCACCATTGCACGAATCTGGTGGGGCAGTCGGACAACTAATTCTGAGGTTAGGCGTAGAGTTTTAGGTTATTGCGGTCGCTTACTGGAGCAAGTGGTCGACCTCCATAGATAACGTTAGTTGAGGCATGTGTTACGCATGCCACCATATAGGTTGCCACGGTGAGTAATGTTTGCCGAGACCGGTAATGGGTGGAAAAAAGTTAAGGGTGGTCAAGCTCATACCTGGCACGAGGGTATGAAATCCTTAACCAGGGGACTGGGTCACAGGTCCCGTTAGGCTCCCTGGATGGGGACCTCGGGATGATCGTAATCGACTTTTAGTGACACTGAGTGTCGTAAACAGTGACGTTCGTGTATATTCTCAATTTCTTTGCAACATTAATCCAATGAAATTCTCCTGTCTTTCATCTAAGTGGGCAACCAAAACCGGCGTACGAAAGTGCATCGTTAATGGTTGTACAGACTGAAGCTGAAACTCATCCCCAAAGCTGGTGTTTGTG